CACAGTAACACACTGTTTACACAGTAACACACTGTTTACACAGTAACACACTGTTTACACAGTAACACACTGTTTACACAGTAACACACTGTTTACACAGTAACACACTGCATTACACAGTAACACACTGCATTACACAGTAACACACTGTTTACACAGTAACACACTGCATTACACAGTAACACACTGTTTACACAGTAACACACTGCATTACACAGTAACACACTGTTTACACAGTAACACACTGCATTACACAGTAACACACTGCATTACACAGTAACACACTGTTTACACAGTAACACACTGCATTACACAGTAACACACTGTTTACACAGTAACACACTGCATTACACAGTAACACACTGTTTACACAGTAACACACTGCATTACACAGTAACACACTGTTTACACAGTAACACACTGCATTACACAGTAACACACTGTTTACACAGTAACACACTGTTTACACAGTAACACACTGTTTACACAGTAACACACTGCATTACACAGTAACACACTGTTTACACAGTAACACACTGTTTACACAGTAACACACTGCATTACACAGTAACACACTGTTTACACAGTAACACACTGTTTACACAGTAACACACTGCATTACACAGTAACACACTGTTTACACAGTAACACACTGCATTACACAGTAACACACTGTTTACACAGTAACACACTGTTTACACAGTAACACACTGTAACACACTGTTTACACAGTAACACACTGCATTACACAGTAACACACTGTTTACACAGTAACACACTGTTTACACAGTAACACACTGTTTACACAGTAACACACTGTTTACACAGTAACACACTGTTTACACAGTAACACACTGTTTACACAGTAACACACTGTTTACACAGTAACACACTGTTTACACAGTAACACTGTTTACACAGTAACACACTGTTTACACAGTAACACACTGTTTACACAGTAACACACTGCATTACACAGTAACACACTGCATTACACAGTAACACACTGTTTACACAGTAACACACTGTTTACACAGTAACACACTGTTTACACAGTAACACACTGTTTACACAGTAACACACTGCATTACACAGTAACACACTGTTTACACAGTAACACACTGTTTACACAGTAACACACTGTTTACACAGTAACACACTGTAACACACTGTTTACACAGTAACACACTGTTTACACAGTAACACACTGCATTACACACACTGTTTACACAGTAACACACTGTTTACACAGTAACACACTTTACACAGTAACACACTGTTTACACAGTAACACACTGTTTACACAGTAACACACTGTTTACACAGTAACACACTGTTTACACAGTAACACACTGTTTACACAGTAACACACTGTTTACACAGTAACACACTGTTTACACAGTAACACACTGTTTACACAGTAACACACTGTTTACACAGTAACACACTGTTTACACAGTAACACACTGTTTACACAGTAACACACTGTAACACATTACACAGTACACACTGTTTACACAGTAACACACTGTTTACACAGTAACACACTGTTTGCACAGTAACACACTGTGTTACACACTCAGGACTGTTGGGAAGTGAGTTTACACAGTATAAGTAACACATGGTACACAGCGCGACTTGGGAAGTGAGTAATAATCAACAAAGCAGCAGTACACAGCGCGACAGTGAGTACAAAGTACATGGTACACAGCGCGACTTCGGAAGTGAGTAATAATCAACAAAGCAGTCCATGGTACACAGCGCGACTTTGCTCTCAGTGCACCAGGTACAGATAGTTTCGCTTCCTATTTCTTCATACTGTGTGCTTGCAAATAACGCACTCGTGTACACCCTTGGCTTTAGTACCTATAGGTGGTATGTAGCCAAGCTTGTGAAGCATAAAGTAGTCTTGAAAAGATTATAGGAAAAGATCAATTTGTAAGGTAGTCTTGAAAAGATTGCTTTGTAAGGTCCCTCACTGGAAGAGATTCAGTCACTCTGGAAGAGATCCAGTTACTCAGGAAGAGAGTCAGCCAATCTGGAAGAAATTCAGTTATTCCTGAAAATATCTATGGAAAACACCACCATAGAAGCCGCTAACACTGTTCATTTATATTACTTGTATCAGATGCATTATCACTGAAGCCAGAAAATGAATCATCTATAAAAGTTGGAGATGGCATGGGTGGAAAAGAGTGGAAGATTTCCTTCCTTAAGGAGGTAGGAACTACCAACTAGTCGACGTTAGCAGAATCGTTCTCCTCCTCTAACTTACTGGGTCTGAATCTGTGGTATAAAATCTGATTATCTTTAATCCTTAAACCGAACAATACATACATATACGGTGAGAGTAACTTTACCGAAGCCGCACAATACATACATATATGATTGAGGGTCTAGCACACGACTTTAAATGCCCTGCGAGGGATAGGAGCAGCTATAGTCTAGCCGCGGCCGATAGTAAACAGACGCCACCTAGAAAAAAATAGTGGGTAACATATCTGGGTGTGAGAACCTCAGTTCTGAGTGAGCCACCAAGGCTGGCGCACGCAGCATGAGCTCACAGCACTGCTGTTGAGCTTGTGACCACAGCATCGCCTAAAAATGTCAAAATATATATGTACATGGTATTATTTAGCGATGATAGTATTACAGAAGACCTCTGACTGTGATAAAAATGACCAGGATTCTGGTAATAGCAGGATTGTTGTGATAATTAGCACTGTAGTGGGAGGAGTAATCTTGGTGGGGAGGGAGGTAGCGTTGTCTGCTGACTGTGTGTGACCACCTTTTACTGTCTGGACTCACTATACCAGCTTAGTGGTTCACTATGGTGAACACAAATGTGGATACCTATATATAATGTGTGTGTATATAGTGTAATAACACCACAAACAGTATTGTTGGAGGAGAAATATTAGTGCATCTGGCCTTGAACCAGTGAGGGCGGCAGCCACCAGCTTACCGTGTGTGTAGCTACGTCTCTTATTGCCTGAACTCACCATACAAGCTTAGATGAACAGTTATGGTGAACAAAACATGTAGATAATTATATATAATGTCTGTATATAGTGAATAAAAGCAAAAACAGCATGGTGGGAGGAGAATGTTGGCGAGTGAGGAGAGGTGAGGAAGGGAGTGGCGGCCAGTGGCTGTCGGTGCAGATGTGGTGGCCACTCGTCATTATTTTTTGACTCCATTCTAATTTAGTGGTTCGTTATGGTGACCAAAACATGCAGATACTTATATATAACCTGTGTATATAGTGTAATAACAGGAAACTATTTATTTATTATTTTATGAACATAATTGAATCACTAATATGCACACCATAATTTTGAGTATAACGATGGTTCACACATTTTATTACATAAATATCACACTACACACTACTGAATAATATTACTGCAAAAAACTAAGAAAAAATCAATCGGAAACGAGGAGCAGACCTCGTCTGGCTTCTGCTCAGTCAACGCCTTTTTTTAGCCAGACTTCCCCGCCCTATTCCTGCCAAAATATGCCACCTATGATTTTTTAAATTTTTTCCTGTGATCAGGGAACACAAATAAACACTTTTATAAGATGAAAGAATGGTTTTTAATTATTTTTTGTTACGCCTGGCGGTGTTGCAGGCCAAAAAAGCCCTTAGCGGTTTAAGGGTTAACCCTTAAACTGCCCAATACTTCATATGAAGTGTCGAGTAACTGACGCGAAAGTGCTCACCACTTCATATGACGTTTTGGAGTACCGTACAACATTTAAAAGTCCCGCAGCTACATGGGGTTCACATCAGCTTCCTCAGGGCTCTAGTAACACTCCCCCATCTTGAAAAAAATTCCTGAGTCCCTCACTTTCCTTCTAGGGCCTTAGTAAGGAAATGATGACCATTGCTTGCCAACATCACCATCTAGTGTCTGAACGTTTTGGGCAACCATACCATACACCAAGATAACCATACAAGACACTAAACTCTTAGCAACCGCAAATGAGTGATTACTATGTATATATTTGAGGTAAAATATGTGCTATGTGCAATTTTGAGATTTAGGCTTACAATATATGTATACATATATTATTATGAATAAGTATGTGGAGTGTCTGTATATCTATACTCGTATATCAATACACACTTATATTTTCAAAGTTATACATAATAGACCGTACCTTTGACACACAAATACAACCTGTTAGTATGAAAAACTAAACAAGTAAAGTGAGAAACATGAAAATAAATCAACAAAGTTATTCCCATGCGGCACCTCGACTCAATTTACCTAAAATTATGCAACGTCACCAGCTCACTACAGCTAAACCACAAGACCTAGACACTTTTTAATTGGATTTTTGTATATCCTGAAAGCTAATTAACAATGTCATAAGAAAAAAAATCTGAACTATTTTTTCTTGAGCACATGGGGAGTATGTGAGGTATTAACAGTTAGCAGCTTAAAGGTGTTAATGAGGAGGTCGGTAGTCGTCTTTGTTTTACTGTATATAATGTGATTACGTCTTTGTTTTGGTTACGAGTTGTGCTTTGTGCTCCTTCACGAATTATTTCTTTTATTATTCTTTTCTCTTTTTTATGTTCACTGTGCATAGTTGGTTTGTAATATAATATTATTGGAGGTGTTGTGGTTTCTGTTCTAGGTTCAGGATTGTACCTGGTCCAGGTGTCATCTTATGTCGCGTTTATTTCTTTGTTGCTATATCCATTGTTCACCAACACTTCAGTTAACTTTCAAACTCCCTACTCACGTTGCTCCATTCTGAGCAGTGGGTAAGGGCTCGACGAATATAAGTGTTTAGAACACTGGCTTTGTGTCTTTGGGAGCACTCACTCCTACTGTTTAGGCATAATCCTATGTTGGTGGGCTTAGTATATACGCTACTGCTTAGAGATGCTCCTGTTAAATTATGTGTTTATTTGTCTACTTATACTGAATCCTTTTAAAGTTTGTCCTTATCTGTCATTTGCATCAAACCTCATCCCTCCCACTTACCTGTTTGGCAGTGAGTTCTGCTAATCATGGATTGCTGTTACGTAGCTCATTTGGCTTCATAATAGTTGGATGGCTGAAATAAAAAAGGCTTCACTTAAACAGAGCAGAAATTTATGAGAATGATGTTCAGAAATACCAAATAGTTATTTTATCTGCAGAAAACAATGTCTTACAGACAGGGTAAAAAAAAATTTAATGAAATGAAACATCATTTTCTTGGCGAGAGCCAGAGGCTCCCTGGAGCTATCCAGGCTGATATGGATGTATTAGATTTTGGCATCAGTCAGTGTGAATGGAGTTCTACTGAATTACAATCTCTCAGCAAAGGAAATTTTTTTGACCATCATTGTTTGCCGTGATCGCCAACATGGTATTTAGAAAAAGTTGATCTGCTGCTGACCTCTTGCTAAATCTCTCCACTAAGTGACATTAGACGCTGGATGAATCATAGATCAGCAGTGTTGTTGATCTAAATATAGCAGGTGCATCTGAGTGGGTCTGGATGTTCAAGGTATGGAGACTGGCTGCCTCGGGTAGACTGACTCCACTTCCATCACAGTGGTCCCAGGTCGGCTCTGTAAGCAGACACGTCATCAATAAACGGGACACTAATACACCTCACTTACGGGCTCGGGCACAAACACCTGACGTATCCAGCCCATAGATGGCGCTGTCGTCGGAGCACCACCTCACCAGAGGTCAGGAGCGGCGGTGTTGAGCGCGGAACCAGACTGGAAACTGGTCCTCGAGGCCAGTACACGCTGTCCTCACCAGGTGTCGTCGTCCGTTTGGCAGGGGTTTCGGGAGCCGACCCACAGATGGCGTGGTTGTCACTGCTCCAGGCTCGGACGCTGGATCCGGGTTCGTAACAGTCTGGATTAGTAGGAAAGCATCACACACTAGCCCCTATCAGTCACCATTCTGCAATATAAAAAAAAATCCCCCATGCTTTCCACATCACTTGTAATACAGGAAATATGGAGTGGATTAACAGGAATGAGAGAGGACCAAGTCAGAGAGAGAGAGCCGAGGGTCAAGGAAGTCTATGTTCCCTCTCTATTACAGGCCAAAACAAAAATTCATACCTTGGATTAATTTCCAACTGTGGCTGCAAAAGTGAGTATCTGGTCTCTTCGGGTACTGTGTAAATTGAGTGTGTACGAAGTGTCTTGCTGCACCCATCTCTTCCACAGTGATGACACATGGATGCGACTCCAGACGAGAAGTAGCCTTCACTCCCCAACATCGTCCAGCCAACACAGTTTTTAGCCAGTCCATCAATTCATTTGCTTGGGAACGACGAAGACTACTCTCAGCTGATAGTGTAAAAAAAATGGACACAATTTATATGGTATATGCAATAAAAACCCAGAGTTGAATGTAATGAAACGCCATTTTCTGGGTGAGACCTGGAGGCTCCCCGGAGCTTACTAGGCTGATATGCTAATGTCAGCCTTTGGCATTAGTCATGTGTATGGAGTTCTGTGGGCCTACCGGGGACCACGAGGCAGAACCTGGCCCCCTCAGAGAGGCATGGGGAGCAATGGCCTATAGAAACCCCCATGAGGTTGGAAGCATTTTGTGTCTGCCATCGACCAGGTCAGGCACCCAGAAAGGTAAGCATCCCAAAACAAACTCCTATTCTGGTGAAATTATTGTCACCACAAGCCGAGCAAGTGGATAGAACTCCCCCTAAAAGAAACGAGCATGACGTCACACGTCGCCGTGCCGCTTTCTGCACAGCTCCCCCCCCCTCCCTGGGAAGAGGAAGGGGGGAGCCCCAGACCCCTACGTCGGTTATCCACCCTTCAGTTCTGAGGCTGGATGTCAAAACATGCAAAAAACTGCCGACCAGAGGGAGGGAGGGAGGGATGCCGGGGAGCCTCCGGGTCTCGCCCAGAAAATGGCATTTCATTACATTCAACACTGGCTTTCTGGGGGGAGCCCCTCCGGCTCCCCAAAGCTCCCCAGAGCTACT